AAAAATTATAATTTTCTCCAAGCAAAAATTTCAAATTATAAAAAGAAAAGAAAAATCGAAAAAAGAAAGTAATAAAATAAATAAATAAGCAAGCAAATCTAAATAATATAATTTATACAGTACAGTATAAGATAATGTAATCTAATACTTTACAAAATATAAAAAATACTTTCTTTTTTTTTTTTTTTGCAAACATAAACTATAAAATTTTAAAAAAAAAGAAGAACTTTTCAGTGATAAACCACGTGCAATTAATTCACGAATTCATGTAAGTGAGAAAACGGAAGATGTACCGATTGCATGTGAAAATAATCCGGCATTACTGATGAAAGTACCAATAAAATGTATAAGTACCAAACAACAATACGTTCCCTTATCTGATACAACAAAACAATAAATGAAAATTAACCATACTGTATAAATATATTGATATATTTCTCAACGAGTGATAGTTGTATGAATTGATAAAGAAAATTGCAACTTATTAGCATTGTATCAAATATTTTGTTGCAAACAATTTTAATAATTGAAATTTTTTTTCTAAAATTTTAACAATAATAGTACGCACAATCAATTGTTGCGAATTTTTTTTTTGATGCACTTTCATTAATTATACTTCTTATAAATAATAATTACACTTATACTGATATTTGAAAATTATAAGCAAACCATTGATATTTATTTTGATTATTTAAATTGATATTGATGCAATTGTATTTCGCTAATTTTAACTCATATTTTTTCTTTTAAACTAACAAACATCTCTTTTATTTTAAATTCAATTAAATATTCTGTGATAATAACGTTAACTGAAACAAACAATCATTTTAAATTTCTAAAGTAATAATGAATTCCGGAAGAATACCATTATTTATCATGAGATTAGCGAGTATTAAGGTGTAGATATAAGTGTGGGGTTTCTAAAGCGATGCAAGTTCTAATTCCAGGTAACAAAATTTGGTGGTTTAATGTAGTTCCCGAGCTATCGACTGAAAATTCCCTTCAATTATTGTTATCAATTACTTTGAACTGGTTCATTTATACTTTATTTATAGCTGTTCTAACAGTTGCCTTTATATGTCGCTGCAGGTATAATTACATCCCAGGTTGTGATAAATGCAATGCGAAATAAAATTTGACGCCTAAACGCATGACTACTGCTGGGAAAGCGACAAACCAATATTGCTATTTGAAATTGAAGGGTCGTTTTTGCCAAAGTATATGATGTTCTAACGGAAATTTCTGATAGGGTAATCAAAAGTGGAGTGAAGAAGAAAAGTGAGATGCATTTATCAAATGAAGCGATTTATATTCGATCAACCCTTAAAACAATAAAATGAATTTGTCAAAAGGAAAAGTGATGACAGTAATAATAATAATAATAATAACAATAATAATAAAAGGGACAATACAGCAGTAATGCCGCTTATGCATTCTTTCAAAGAGAAATACATTAATAAAAAAGCAAGATACAGATGGAGAAGCAATCAAAGGCACAGAAAGCAGATGCACAAAAAACGACTAAAAGGAAAATAATGTATTATCTATAGCAGTGATTCGCAACCTTTTCTTGACCATGGACAATTTTAACTTTTCCATTTATAGTAGGGGCTACAAGGTTGTCAATTTGAAAATAAACTTCAACCAGAACTTTTAACAGATTAGTTTACCAAACACTGACAATAACAGTTCTCGCTTGTTTTCTACTCACGAGCCGCTGCCTTCATGAACCATATTTTAGTTCTTGCGTACCACCGGTCGTGAACCACTGATTTACGGGTACAGTAAACACATTAAAATGCCACCAATTGAATAATAAAACATGAAATCCAAGCAAATTACTTTAATTCACAGTCAACAGTAACATCAATATAAAAATGTTCAAAGAAAATCATGTTCGTTTTCACCTATGATATATTTTGAAAAGTTATCTCTTCCATGTCATAATCTAATGGTACTATAGATTTATATGCCAAATTTAATAAGCTGTAGATCCCAATCTACATAAAGTCAACCTGCAAATTTTCGTTCACGTGATAAGAGAAGTTTTAAATTCCAAATTATGCCAACCATTTCAAAACTTAAAAAACCGAATTCCAAAATCAATACTAAACAACCAATTACATCTAAATCGTTATGTCTAATCTTAGCCATACTTACATACACTTGGAACGAATCAAACAGTTTCCTTCATTGTCCACTAACGTAGCTGCTACCACTCGGCCTCACCCGAACAACGCTGAAAGCAGTGATCCTTACCACGTATATGCATTATCCCATCTTTCAACGTGAACTTCCACTTACTGCGAGCACGATGTACCTAGAAAATCAAAAAATAACTTCTGTGATTTTTCCTTTCTTTTCTTTAATTTCTTAGTTGATATACCTTCTTAAATGATGATTTCTCTACAACGCACGTCTCCGTCGTTACAAAATTAAAAAAAAAAAAAAAAAAAAAAAAGAAGAAAAAAAGCTTGAAAGATTAAGAGTTCAGTGATCCTGAAATCAATGTATTCACAGAATACATACTGCAAGAAAATAAACTGTAGAAAGATTAAGTTACTTTTTCGAATTGGCACATAACGAGGTTCTCTGCTTCGAAAAGCCTCTCTACGTCTTCATCGTCACTCTGATCATCACCAGAATTCAGAGGATCTTCTTCGGTCACCTGAATTTATTTCTGATATTTCAGCTACAAACCAATACTTTGCTAACATGTATGAAGCACCACTGAAGTTACTATTCAATACAGCTGTGAAATACATTTAATTCTGAAAGAACTAATTAAATCAAAAAGCTCCAAGTTATTTCATCCCACTTTCGCTTCAGCAGATTCTATTTAGCTACAGATTTTTATAATGTCATATTTTGTGAACAGGAGAAAGGCTTCGATGAGAGTGGCCAACTATATCACACTTAGCAATACGTAAACTCAGTCAAGTATATTTTAACTTGTACAATTCTTTTTACAATTTAGTTCGTATGATTCATCAACAAGCTTTTTTGATACCATAAACAAATTGTTACCTATTTTTTGACAAATATAAATTTTGTTTATTAAATGATTAGGTACCTGGTCCTCGTCTTCAACTGCATTTCCTTCGTCACTTATACGGTCAGCAATTGTCCTCAACGGATCATCATCATCCTCTTCATCCATTTCTTCTTCTTCTGATGATGAATCACTTACTCGAGTTGCTCCATCTACTTGTACAAACTTTTTAAAAGTACCTAGAACACAAATGATAGAAGCCAAAATACATCAGCCAGTGTACTTTTACTGGCCTTTGATTCACATTGACATGGATCAAGATGACAACAACTGAATCCAATCAATGTAGTTTTGGTAAGCGTTAGACTCGCCAACAAAAAAGGCTAGAACCTTTTACTAAGTATCAGAAATTCTGCCTTTTTTTAACTTTATTTTCACGTGTGAAAGCTAGGTACATTGCCCACATAGGTGCAAAGAACGGCACGCAACAATCGCTTCAACTGTCATCGCGTTTTTTTTTTTACTAGTTTTGTCTAGGTCATATGAACTCCACTGGCAAGCGGATCCATATTGATATGAATCAAAGATATTGCATAATCAGTTGCCACCTTTACCCTTGCATTTCTGATCGTCTTCTCGTTCTGGTTGTTTGCGATCTGTACGAGATGAACCAGCCTTAGACGTATTAACAGTCAAACTTGTTGCTCCATCAAGCATCTGTATTGTGTCTTCCGGTTTCGGATTAGATTGTCCGGAATGAAGCAACTGTCTATTTGCGGGCTGATAAACGACAGCGTTATTCAGGGTCACCGGGATTTGTGAACCTGCATTCAAAATCATAACGCTACTGCCTGTCGGCAGACTAGTTGTCCCACTTCCTGCTGAAAAATGAGAACCTGTCAAAGAGTGGCACTAATTCTACACCCAAAAATTTTCGATGTTAGATTTATCCAGGATATAAATAGTAATTCTAAATTCGATAAGATGGTTGAAAAGAAAGCTAAACTTAGAATCTCGCACCATGCATCAAAAATTGCTGACCACCTTGCTGAAGAATTCGCGCTTGACCTTGCCCAGCAGGAAATGTAATCATTCCAGGAGCCATAGTGGCTATCTGCGATGTATTCTGGTTCAATGATTGCCGCTAAAATCACAACTCACTGAATTTAGAAACCAAAATATATATCGCTAACTTTCAAATTGTTGCAGCTTTCTCAGCCAATACATTTGAACTGAAGAAATAGCACGATTCCGTATTAAAAATTACCTGTATTACAACAGTATTTGGATCACTGCTGATTGGAATATTGGCGGCACTAATGTATTGTACCTGGTGTACTGGCCTTTGTACGCTTGATGTACCGCTTGCTTGCATAATCAAAGCCGGCTGTGCAACCTGTGACGAAGAAGATGATGATGATCGTGCTGACTGTTGGACCAATATGTGCTTCAAAGTACAATGATTAAACAGGATATGGAAATTCCTAAGGGTTTAAAATGTATGCACTGTACGATAACTAACCATCGAAATATAAAGTAAAATCTAAAAATATTTAAAAATAAACAAAGAACGAATGCATGTGTAACATGTCCCATTCACTTCCGAAAAAAGTTGACATACTGGATGCGCCTTGAAATAAGGTAATTATGAGGTATCGAAAAAAAAATGAGAAACCAAATCTGTCTGTTCGATTAAAGTAACGACTAGTTTTTGCGTTCATGCACTATAAATTCACTAGTAATTTAAGGCTTGAGAATGCTGGAAAGGAATCAGGTTAAATCCTACTGACCCTTCCCACAGAAAATTAGTTACTCAGCAATCGTACTACATTCTACATCGTCAAGAGGTTTGAAAGTAAACAAAAAATAAAACAGAGCATATTTTTTCGCAGCTGATTTGCTCAGCAAATAAACTTAATTACTTGATTCCTAATAGATCTCACTGTTCAAATGGCATTTCTTCTAAGAAAACGTTTTCTGTTGATGAGAACTTTACTCCTTAAAGTAGAGAAAGAAAACGCATCAAAGGATACTGAAATGATGCGAAATTTATCACTTCCGAAGTATCCAACTACTTATTAAAAGATAAAAAATTTATGGATGAACAAATATCGATAAGAATGCGACAATCCTTTTCCTCCTTTGTCCTTCTTTCCCTTCCTTCCTTTGAAAAATTATACTTACAACATAAAAAAGGTATCTACCTGCCCATTTTGTGCGATACGCACAGTACTGCCTGGAGGTATAGTTGTACTTGTCATAATCGGTTGTTTCATCTGCCGCAGTGGAGGTGGTGGTACATGTCGTGGACCATCCCAATCAACACTGTTGCTCGCAATTAACTTTTCTTCCCAATCCTGGAGAAGTGATTAAGTTAAAATCTGTGTGACACAAAATTCATTCCAATCCAATAAGAGTTGAAACTTAAACGCCTTTAAAAGCTAAAGTGGAAAATGAAGGTAACTGCAATGAGAACAACGAATATACAACGATTACATTATATGACTTCCATCAGTGAAGCGTACTAAATTTAGGAAATGACTGGTAAACTTAAAATGACATTATAGTGTTATTTCAGTATGGCAATTTCACATGAACATGCCAAAACGATAATTCAATATTTCTGGTCGACAAACGTAAAATTTGCCTTTTTGAGCTGCTGTAAGACATCAATATCAACATTTTCGTCCAGAAATGCTTCCTTAACTTGTCCGATAACATCATTTATCACACCTTTGTATACATCAGCCTGCAAAAGCTTTTTTCGTTGACCTTTTCCTTACTCCGTGATCCTTGAGCTATGAAAATCAATAATATAAATAAATATATCAAAAGCACCTGGTAAAATGCTAAAACTCCATATAAAATGTTGCAATCTAAGGAATTAACATATATAGCTTCTGGGAAATATCTTTAACAGGAAATGTTTAAAGCTTTTCTTTTTGAGTTTTATACATGATTTATAGTATGAATATCATATCGAGGTAAGAATTCTATGTGAGTAATATTTCACATATCTTTCTGTACGGCATATAAATTTATAGGGTAGTCAGCTGACAACAGTTCATCCAAACACTTATACAAATAATACGAATGTTAGTTTAATAAATGCATATTTTGTGAAATAAAACTTATGAAGTGTCTAAATTTGAAGTTGAAATTTCCACATTTAAATAAATTTTTCAATAAATTTAAGGGAGCTTACGATAGTATGGCCTGCTTGTTGTTGTTGCGACATTGTTCAAACAATGACAATGCGTAAAAAAGTTGCTCGCACCGTATGATGTATATGGTGCTAAAACTGTATGAATCAAAACTGGAAAAAAAAAGGAAAAATCGATTCAAAAAAGGTAGATCTCATCAACTAATGTCAATTTGTACTTTTACATAAGTCAATTAATTGTGCCCAAATTACCTTACGTGACATTTATGCAATTTGTGGAAACTAAACAAAATAACATATAAATGTAAACTCCAATAAACCACATCTAACAAACAAAATAACACATCGCATTTAAATGAAGATTATAACTACTACATTATAAGCATACTGTTAGTCATATTTATTTCATCGATCGATAGATTTCATCAACTGATGTCATTTTTGTGTTTTCGTATACGTCAATTATTTGACATATGCTCAAATTGTCTTACATGATATTTGTACGGAACTAAACTAACAACTAACATACATGTAAAGTTTAATAAACCACGTCCAATAAATGAAAAACAACCACACCGCACTTAAATGAATGTTTGCACTAAAAATGAATGATTACAACTATTATATTATAAACATGTTTGTCATATTTATTCAATCGATAGGTAGATTTCTAAAATAACTAATATCATTGTGTACTTTCGTATACCGTTAACTAGTTATACATAAATTATCCTACATGCATTTAAACTAAACAAATTAACCCACACGCAAACTTTAATAAACCACGTCCAACAAACAAGGAACAACAACACCAAAAGTAACCACCGCTTCGTCAACTGCTATTACTAATAGCGGCCTTTCTAACCGGGCCTTTATACAAACGTTAATCCCAAAGACATTTTTGTTGTTCGATTTGGTTTTTTTTCCCCTTTGTTTTTAGTTTTCTTTTTTTGTTTTTCTTTTCTAATTTAAAAAAAATAAACTGATTTTAATCCCACCAAATTTTTATGATATCATGGATTTTTCTA